ACTTATCCTTAATTCGTCTTAGAATGGGAGCAAAAGTTTTTTCTGTGATGGGGAGCGGCAAGATGACAACGATACTGCCATCCATATTTTGGCAGCAAGCAGCGGTAGAAGAGTCGCTGTACCCTAAGAGCGTTATGGTGCGCAGTGATATTGACACCAGCATTGCTTACGCGCAGCCGGCTCACATATTCACCGGTTTGAATATGATCTAACAAGATCTCGATTCAAGTGAATAAAATGAAAATGTATTAGAAATGGCAGTTGAAGCAAAGGATTAAGTGCTGCACCAAGGAGGCCTTCTTGCCAATGTGCTGCTGCTTAGTTTGACCTGTTTCGGGATTAGTTTAACAACTACATTGGCTGTAGTTGGTCAACATTTGAGATTACAATAACTCTATTATAGAGGAGAAAGATGTTCAGGAATAGCTCCAACATTTCTCAATTTATAACACTGAGAAACTAACCTCCTCATCGACAACTTTCCTATTTTTCTTCTTCACGACTCTTTGAGACCTGGTTTTTGACTTCGGGCACCTCCCCGCTTCGCGATCGTTTCGCCATGAGCCGATGTGAGCGCAACCGAACTAACAACTGAGACATACTAAGAATCACCCCGGCTCTTATACTCCATTTATTGTGGCGTGATAAAAGATGTACGTCCTATCGGATTTCCCGTAACATATGTCACGTGCATTGTTGATGAGCATTGGGAGTTCGTCAGCACAACCACAGTTCATGCTCCAACCATTCAATAAATATGAAAACATCAACAAAAAGTTCAATTTACATTGGTTGCCGCCAGACTTGAGGTCAGTCACGGATAGGCCGATGCCATAGTTTGCGAAGCGAGCGTTTCGCTAGCGAATCGCTCGCTTTGCAAACTTCGCTGACAACCCTCAATAAACTGGATCAGAGCGTTGCTCCAGCAAATTGAGTGTTGCACCAGCGAATAGAACCTTGTGCCAGCGAATCGACTGATGCACTAGCGAGATGAGCTATGTAC